ACACACACACACACAGAAACAGTGCCCCTGCTCAGTCCTACCTGTGTGAGTTGACCTGCAGCACAGGTTTATAAAGCTGAGGGATCTTTCTGTTGATGAGGGGCTGCAGCGCCTCCTTCAGTCGGTGATAATTCCTCTCCAGCTCCCTCTGGTACTCCTTCTGGTCTGGACCAATCAGGCTCTTGTTCTTACGCAGGGCATCTTCACACCTTTGACAGAGAAGTCGGTCAAATACTGGCGTGTATATTCTATACTACGCTGCCTCCTTTTTATAGGGGCAGCAGTTTGATGCCAAAAACCTTCTTGTGTCTCCCGGACACATTTCCAACATATTGTATCAGTTCACAGGTACGTGATTCATCATCCACAATCCATACCTCTTTGTGAAGTCTTTGAAGCAGAGCCGTAGCTTATTGTGGTGTCTGTATAGCTTTGGGTCACTGGGAATCTCTGACAAGAACACTTGAGCCACCTCCAAAGGACCCTGAGGAAAGCATATTATATGATTATTCATCTACAGCTTTACTTATTTATTACATTACATTAATGTAGCTAATAATTTTATTCAAAGCAACTTCAAGTGCATTCAACCATGTGGATGTAACCCAATCATTGCAAGAATCACGCAAAGTACATCAAATATGCTGAATTGCTACATTTAGAACAATAATAAAACAAGAGATCAACATACCAATGCTCAGAGTTGTATTTCTATCAAATCTATCAATAATACCGCTCATCTTAAAACTTTACCTGGTTGACAGTTGTGCCTACTGATCCCTGTAGGACCATCTGCAGCATCTTTGCATCAGCAGGGTCCTGATGGGTGGCGAAGGCCAGCTCCTGAGTCTTCTTCTGCATGTCCTCTATCGCCACCTCGATGGGTGTGGATATAATCTGGGAAGTGACGAAGAGACAGGCGGTTTTAGTGATCAAGGTGCACAGGTGGTTTGATTAAACAGCTCCCTTTTATTACCACCTTATCTCCAGAATATTGTCCTTCCACAGGCTAAAATAAGCCACTGTATTTGTTTTGCAACAATAACAATAATAAAATCTTTAGTAATGGAGAAACATAACCAGTGACATAAAAAAGGTCAGTTGATTTCTGCTGATTCAACTATTTGCAAACTGTTCACCCACCTCCTCTTTGTGGATGATGTTGATGCGTGTCTTAATGTAAGGGAAAGCGTGGGAGGTGGTGAGGATGGTCTTGCGTTTGAACTGTTCGTGCAGGTCCCCGTGGGCCCGCCCATCCAGAGTGAAGGGCGTGCAATAGACGAAACGCCGCAAGTTGTAGTTCTTGTCAAAGTAAGTGATGCGGTCCTTCATCTCGTACGTGTCGAAGTACGGCTCCACATATGTGATCTGGACGAAGGCCTGCAGAAATACAGAATATATCATGACTGGTCAGACTAAAAGCTTGAATAAAATCACTCTAAACTGATCCATTTCCATCCACTTATCCACTGATGTGGGAACATTGTGCCCAACACAGACCTTATTTGGGTCCAGCTTGCACTTGTCCACTGGGTTGGAGTCCTTAATGACTTCTACCTGGTCCTCTCCAAATCGTTCCCCATAGAAACCCTGAGAATAAACACAGAACTCATTAGTAGCAGTAGACACACATAGCGAAGAGGAAATCATTTTGAGAAACCAGGCTATTACAGGAAAGTCTAGAGAGCCTACATGGTGGTATTTACCTCTAGCCTGTGAGAGATTTCCGCCAGCTTCGTGATGGCAGGCTCTTTGTACACAAACTCCTGCTCGTCTAAGTCGCCAAATTTTGAACCGTAAAATCCGACTCTGAAGTACGTACCAAACATCCTCTTTCCATCCTGCCAGGAGAGGAAGATAAATGTTAACGCTGAGGAAGAATGGTAATTAAATTCATATAAGGGTGTGTTCATTTTTGATCCAAACTTCAAACTCAAAAGGATAGATCATCATCCAAATCAGACATCAGAGATCCAGTGCAAACCCTAAAATCTCACAATGCTTTTTTTCCCTTTTTGCTAAATACTCTAACAGTTAGTGGCAGACTTCAGCTCCAGTTGCGACTGTGTAGTTCACAGGAAGTATAGAAAGGAAGAAAAGGTTGTAGTTTATTCACACATATCACAGCTAAATGAAGTTTCCTCATCTGCACGGCCATCTGCAAGTATACTGTCAGCACTATGGCCACTGTGTTTCAGTCTATACAACTGCATATGAGTGGTTTGAAATAAAATGTCAGTGTCAGAGGAGATCATCAACCTCCAGATTATCATCCACACCTTTACTCAATGGTAACCACAGTCCCACATATTTGCATCCATTGTAGAAGTTTCACTTTTTATGAGCTTGTTCTACACCTTTTCCACCTCTACAAAATACCCAGAGGACGGACAAGTGCAGTGCTTGAGAACAAGAACAAGAAACAACTTCCTTTAAAAATGCTCAGCAGAATATTCATGTCATTAACAAGTATAGTAAGTATAGTACTTCTTCTGACTTCTTCTTTATGCCCACAATTAATGCACATATTTTCTATCTTTTGCCTGTCAAGAGTCATGATAAGAGAAAGAACAAAAGAAACCATGAAACCATTTGTGCTCTGCAGAACAAAAATGGCCATAACTACTTCAAACTGATGCCTGAACCCAACCACCATGCGATATCTTAGGTAGTATTAGTGTTCAGTGACAAGAAAATGGCCATCAAATCCAGAAACTCGGAATTTTGTTCTGCACAGACCACCCAGAAAGCAACTTAACATGAAAGAACTTACTTCAGTCAAAGCACAGAAGGTCTGACGCAAGTGTATGTGAGTGAGTAGGTGTGTATGTGTGTGTATAACATGAGAAAGGGAGACGCTGTGGGTAAGTTGCATAGGTTGGCATCTGACTTCTAGTAAGAGATTATTAAATAAACTCTCTCGTTAACCAAAGTTTATAGCAAACTCTCCTGCAACTACTGATTCAAAAAGAAATGTAAGCAGAAATTTAAGAGGCCCTGAAAACTAAGGAACTTACCACAAGACACAATTAAGTAAAGTGGGAAGGAAGGGTCGGCAACCAGGGAAATCAAAAAGGAGAAAACAGAACAAATTTTAATGAGGATTGGATTCCTCCAGAGAATTACAAAAACAACACAAACTAACACACAATAGCAAAAATATCTCCATTGATTTTAAGAAAGAACATAAATTCATTGTGGAGGATCGAGACCATGCAAACGCAGACAGTTACGAAGACAAAGTGAGAAAACAAAGATCCACCACCTTCAGAAGCACAACATGCACCCTCAGCGTATTTCCAAAAGGAACACGGAGTGCTCTGTCCGTTTCATGCAACAGACTATGAAAACTGGTTAATACTGTTAACAACAGAACAGAATGGATGAAAAAAAATCAAATCAGGGGTCGATTTAGTTTGAACTATTAAAAAAAAAAAAAGGGCAATAATAAGAACTAATCAAAATCAAAAGGGATAATTCAAGTAATCCTGAGATTACTGTGAGCTGAACCCTCTTGGGGGGAAAAAAAACAGACTGCCTCAGGAATTTGGTTCCAGCTTCGACCCAATGCAAGTCTGCAACACCCTGTGTTTTAAAAGGTTTGAATAATGGTATGTGGAAAGAATGACCAATGGCTAGAGGAGGCTAACAGATACCCTTCGAGTAAAAACAGTGCACTGAAATCGAGCCCTGTGGTTGAAGATGAGATGAAGATGAAGTGTGACAGCAGACGGTCAATGAGTGTGTTCTGAACGACACACCAGCAGACAGACAGAAGATGAGGACAAGGAGAGAGCGGATTGTGCAGGTGATGCATTCGCTGAGACTTTTGTCATTAGTGTCACACACTGTGGCTCCCATGCACAGCCTGCCAACACTGTCACGTTATAAAAACAAGCTCCTCTTGCACATTAAGAGGAGGGAGGAGAGAGGAAAAACGGTGAAGGTGTTGCTGCTTACACAGCATGTGTACCCAACAGGGGCAGACAGTTGACATTGTCTGCAGATGTTAATGGATTGGATGTATGTAACAAAGCAAAGAGAGCAACTGAATGCCCACGGCTAGCAAATAAAAAAAGATGAGTGTAAATAAAAATAACACAAAAAGATAAACAACATGAGCAGGGCCAAGCAGGAACCGTTTAGCCACCTACCTCCCAGCCAGTACTCTGTGTGACAAAGAGAATACAGGAGAGTGAACGACAACACATACAGCAAGGAGAACTGACTCCTTGGAAACTAATCCAGGTTACTAGCTATCGAGCTGGAGAACAGAGCAACTAAAATTACAAAAAAAATAACTTTTTTCAAGCAAACAAAGATAATTGTGTTGGCTTTGTGAGAGCAGTTGCTCTGCACACCAGACGACTGTAACCTCGCCCACACTGTAACTTGACATCGTCATTATGAGTCACACAACTGGCCTTTAGGAAAAACAACAACAGGAGTTTCTTCCCACACCTCATGCATCCTCTGTTTCATACTATAATATAATAAAGCATGCAAGGTATCAATAAATAAATTGGAATTAAAATGCCAAAAATAAAACCATGCAAAGTTGTGTCTGTGTGATGGCTGGACAACATGACTACATATCCAGAATATTTCCCAGTTGTGTTTGGTGTCGTTACTTGTAGACGAAAATCTTTGCTCCTAGTAGCACAACCAAGGTTTTTTGTCCCATTTTTCTATTATAAAATCCTGCGTGAAGAAACTTTAACCCTCTACAGTGCCAGATACACTAGTGACAGATGTAATAAGTGTGACTAATGTGCATCTGTGCAAAGCATTCATGTGACTGTGAGGTTTTGAGGTGTTCATTGACAGATGATGTTGGAACATGTTATTCTTGATCCACATTACTGAATTTACACAAGAACAAAGGAAACAATTTCTAAAACCTAATCTAACCCAGATGTTATCTTTTCATTGACGGTGGAAATAAAAAAGAAAATCTGACTCACACTTAAATAAAAAATACTTTTCTCTTTTGGTTCTTGTATAAATCCAGTCAGCTTCCCACCTCAAGCTACTGGAGCCTAGTGTGGAAAGAAATCAAGACTGTGTGTGTGTGTGTGTGTGTTTGTTTGTTTGTGTTTACCTGATGTACAATTTTGCCAAATGCTTCCTGTAGTTTACCATGAATGGTGGCTAGCTTCTTAGCGTCCCTGTTGGCTTCGTGGATAGGGATCAGTACCTTGTACACTTCATTTACGGCCTCATACATGCCCGCCTGAAAGGAAATGGAAACAAATGTTAGTATGACACTGTCAGTCATCCACAAATACCAACACTCAGCCTAAACATAGAGATTTTAATACTGTGTGTGTTAACAATGAATAAGACCCATAGTAAAACGCCTTCTTCTTTTTTAGGTGAGAGAAAGAGGAAGTCACCTGCAGTTCATCCAATCACACCTCTATCCCTCTACATTTCTCACCATGGAGAATGAGGCAGCAGCCTGCTCCAGGAGTCCCACGAGGCCGATCTCAGTGAAGTATTTCCCTGAGCAAATGCCCTCCTCATCTGGTGACACCACATCATCAGAGACCGCAGATTCTTCCAGCACGTTGGAAGAAATATTCTGTGAACATACACAAATACAAGAAAAACAATACAAGCACACGCATCAGCAGACATTCTATTGCCAGAAGATAGGCATATGCACACACGTTAAGTGTATCCAGTACTCTCCTTACCTGGAAGGTGACACAGCCTACAGGCAGATACTTGCGGTCCTCCAGCATGCTCAGGTATTCTGCGACCAGAGCAGCGCTGTGCACCAGACACTGAGCAGCCTCAGCGTGGTTGTTTCTCTCAGAGTGTTTTCCAGCCATGTTCTGAAGCCAAGTCAGCCGCAGGTCTGGTGACGTCTGATAACCCTTTGCAATCCTGGAGATGGTCACAAATGAAAATATAAAAAACACATTACATGAAAGCACACAAACAACAAGATAATGATGATCACAGTGTAGAAATACATTTGTAATCAATCGAAAGATGTTTGCTTGAGTGTGCATGTATTCTGTACCTGTACATGAGATCTATCAGCATCTCAGGGTCTTCCTGGTGCTCCTTCATCTTGACTGTGTCAGACAGGATCATGTGCAGGTTAAACACAAGGTCCTGGACCTGGAAACAAAAAGAAGTGTAGTGGAGTACATGAGTAAAATGATTCAGTGATTCAATTCAGTAAATCTAGTTGTCAGTCAGTCAACAGTCTCTCACACTGTAATAAACGTAAACTAAACAATTTGACAGATAACTCCGTACCTGGTCTGGGAACGTGGTCTCCCTCAGCTCCAGGTCCTCCTCTGCATAGGTGAGGATGGTCTTAAGAGAGCGACGCAGAAACTCCTCGTTAAAATTCTGAGACGTTCCCACCAGCGATGAAAGAGACATGGTGACTTGCATCTTCACTCTTGCAAAGTTCTGAAAGTGCAACCACAAGAAGAAGAAAGTCAGTGGTTCTGGCTATCATGTGACAGATACAGTCTGCGAAGGAAGCACTCTGAAGAGCAGATCCCTTCTAGCTATGAAGTCATTTTCAAAAAAGTCTGTGTGAGTCTGCCTGTTCTATAACAAAGGAAATGATGCATTCACCAGTAATTGAGCGTAAATTGGATAGCTGATTGCAGTGTTTAGTTTTGTACTAAATTGCGTGATGTAAAGTGAAAGAAAAATAGGAATAAACAAATATGATAATCGAGAACTAGCCAATAAGCAGTAATTTAGTTCCTTATAATAACTGATGTAATTATATATATAATTATAGCAGCGCTTTTTGAAGTAATCAAATCATTTTGAACATTCTGTTCTCTAAATAAGAAGGTCTTTCAAAGCATGTGGTTTCACAAGGCTTATTAACATGTGAGGTTCAATTAAAGGTCATTTCTGGAGGCATGAGGGGTTCAGGCAACAATACTTTTAACTGTCACTACTGATACATCGTTGTAGCTCCATAAAAGCTACACTCCAGCGGTTCTTTAACATTTACAACCCATTATACCAGGTTCATGAACAAATGTTGCTATTAAACTAATAAAAAAAACCTTTTAGGTTGTAAACCTTTAGTTTTTCTTGTTTATTGTACTCACATTGCCAATCTCAAAGTTTTGCCTCATGAGCAGGTAGAGGGAGGCGCTGGCATGGGCCCTGATGGTACTTATGCTGCTGCTGCAGCTCCTCAACAATCGCAAACACAGGTCAGCACACTGCTCCGTTTCCTCCTCGAACAGCAGTTCAGGAAACTACAAAGGCAGAACAAAATGACACAATACAGTACAAGTAGGAAGTCCTGAAATAAATGGTGAGGATAACCTGATTTTAAGCACTTTAATAAAATTCCAGTAGTCTAACCTTAGACACCAGCGCCCTCTGTGTGGCAAAACAATGCTGGAGGTAGAGGGCGCTTTGGTTGCATGCCATGCTGTGGAGCAACACCTTCAGCACCCCGCCCAGGATACTCTCCTTCGACTCCGTCACTGATACCGTCTGGAGAGAGGGGGACACATACAATTGTTATAGAAGCATGGCGGGGTATATATGTGTTGTGTGTGTTGGACTACATCATTTGAATGATTTTGGTATTTTGAGTACATCCATGCATGTTTGCATTCCGCATGGGTAAATGTAGAAATTCATGTTCATTTACCTGTACAATGATCTCCAGAGTATCAAGAATAATTATGTTGGCCTCCGTCGCAAGGTTACCATCAATAAGTGCTTCATGTTCCAGCTCTGCTCTGGTCCTACAACCAAAAATCCAGAGAACACTGTCACAAAATGATTACCACCCCCAAAGTACGATGTCAATGATGTATCATTGAATGTTGCAGGAGCTTCCAGTCACCACATTCAAACCATTGTCCATAGTCATGAACAATAAAGGAATCTTAGTGTGGAGGAAAAAGATATATGCTGAGAAGAACGTCAGACAATTTTCTTGTTTTCATAAACTTTGATTGAACATATCTTCATACAACAACAGCACAAAGTTTAGAAACCAGTTTGTCTCTTAGTTTTACTCATATTCAAACTAATTTTATACTCTAAGATGATCTTAACCTGCATGTAACAATCTATTAAAATGAACCACAGAAACAATGCAAGCTGATCCACATGTAGACAATTCATCTTACATTATATACATTATTATTAATACATTCCCTCACATGAGGGTTAAGAGGTTTGAAGGCCTTAAGGTTAACTGTTCTTCATTATTAAGATGAACAGCAAGGTAGTCCATTCCTGGTTCAAAGGTGGGATACTAGGGCTAAATGTTGTAGTCTACATGTCCTAGGTTTGAAATCATAACAGGACTGGCTTTTAGTGGCAATGTATTTACCTTTCATATTTTTCAAAAGAACAAAGAATCTATGACAAACAAGAGCTATTGCTCTTTTCTGCAGCAGCAACCACAGAGACACACGAGTCAGAACCCCAAAAACAAGAAGCACACTGGTTAAGAAGCAAAACAGACCCACTGCAACCACTACCAACCCCGAGACAGACATTGTTACCAGGACAGAGGGACTGATGGGATGGGGGGTTCAGGGGTCAGAACCAGGATCAGGGGGTCTCTGTTGGTGCATTCATGTGCATTTATGAGCTTAGGAAGTTAAAATGGAGAAGAAATGAATCATAAAATGGGTGCCTCATGAGACTAGAATAAGGAACATGGGTCACCAAAACCTAAATTAATTAAGCTAAAAGTTGATCAGGATGAGAATACAAACTAATAAATTCATTTTGTGTCCATTGCAACTGTCTAAATACTCACAAGCATGTGAATACACCATGAATGAGGAACTAAAGCAGGAGGGAATTCAAAGGAGCCAAACAACAAATGTGGACCATACAATACCTGACTGATCTGTGACTCCTACATAAACACACAGCAACGTGAGAGAACAAATGGAAATTAACAGAAAATAAAGGCTGGATCTGAATTTACAAAAGAGCAGAGAAAAATTAATTTCAAATTAAATTTTAAAAAAGCATAGCACTGTATCTTTTGTCGCCATTTGACAAAATAAGTACAGCTCAAGTGGCATAAGATACAAAGAAGTAGTTTTTTTAAGAGTGCATGCAACACATATATCTATAGTTGGTGGGCAAACATAGAAATTTTAACACTAGGTAAACATAAGTAAGTCTGATTCTAACCCTAACCCTTGATGGTTTGTATCTTTAACCACATGGATGATTATCACTTTCATTTTCACACTTTAATTTCACACTTGAACTACACAGTACATAAGGTATTGGTTTGTTCTTCTAAATGATTGGTTGTCCTTATGAAAATGGAAAAGAGCACACGTGGAGCTGAAGATTTAAAGTAGGGATGGACATTTTCCTACACATTTATGGATTATGTTGTGAACATCATTTGAAATAATCTGTGTTCCTGAGAGAAAAAACACAGAACACAGTTTAGTGGATAATAAAGGTCTTGGGATTATCTTTTACGTTTTTTCTGTGCCGTAAAGTAAGAATTAGGAACGTGATTAAGTGTTAGAAAGCGCGTACTTGTCCATCTTTTCGCTGTTTTGTCTCCAATGGGTCATGTCCTTCCTCCATCGAAGGTTCTCCTGACTGCCAAAAGCACTGCCAGATGGACTCCGCTCTACATGGTGGAGAAAGGATTATTTACTTTTTATTAGAGGTGAAAGAGGGATTGTGTACACAGTAAAACGTGACTGAATTTGGCTGAATCTACACTATTCAAAAGGTGAAGTTGTATCCATGTGTTGTCTATAATGCAGAATATGGTCTGCATTTCACTGGTTTTTTTGTCAAAGCCACACAATCTGTTACTTAGTTTGGAGTTTTTTGTTACAGCTGTATTTGCATTTGTTTATTTGTGGTTCTGTGTGTGCCCTCAAGATATGCAGTTGTTTGAGTGCATGTGTGAGCACAAAAACCATGTGACCCCACCTAGCTGTCCCCGGCTCCGTCGCACCATCTCCTGTCTGGCCCCGATGCTGCCCAGTATGGCCTCCTCCAGCTTGGCCTTCATGTCTTTGGACTTCTTAAAGGTCAGGCTGTTCATTCGTTCAAACGCCTTCTTCCCCTGCATGGTGAACACAACATGGGCCTTGTATCCATGAGGCAGAGGGTGAGTGAACGGACAGAGAAAACAGCGGGGAAGTTATTTGCAGCACAGCACTCAGCAAGCAAAGCAGGTTAGTAGTATATAAGGAAATGTGCAAGCCAAAAAAGCAAAGAGCAAAGAGCACAGCATAAACAGCTTGAAATACAGAGACAGAAATAGATGAGTGTAGCATTCAAAGAAGCAAGTTGTCTGCTTTAATTGTATCACTATATTGAGTAGCCAAAGCATATTAACCGCAGAGAAGCTTATGTTCTGTATGGAAGAGGATAATGCCTTCAACAGAAGATTAAAAGTTATTGCTGATGATGACTGACATCTGTGAGTACCAGTATTTTGTTTCTTGTTTCTTTTCTACAACTGTGCACCCAAGTGATGAAGATTTGGAGCTGTGTGCGCTGCTACTTTTCATCATGTTTGAACTTGCTTTTTTTGTTTTCTGTGTGGTAACGTTTTTCTGGTTAGAATTTTCTATTTGTTTACTCCTCTTATGAAGGCAGATATGAGTAAAGTGTTAAATTAAAAAATATCAGCTGGACAAATTCCTTATTTGTGGGATATAAATGTAGAAGAAGGTACAGTGAAGAGGTGGGCATACTCTGTACTGCTGATGCTCTACCCTCTGTATTCCCATGGCAACAATATGGTTAGTGGTTAATCACTCTGACTTGTCAGTTAGTGTGTCTATTCACTATTGATGTTACCTTGTACTCGAAGCAGGAGACGCAGAGGTAGAGGAGATCCAGCAGGCGGTTGAGCTGGGACACAGACAGGTCTGTGAACCACTTCTGTAATACCAGCTCGTCAGCATTCTTCAGCACCCACAGCAGACAGATGAGCAGACTGCGACTTGACTCGGCCGAGAAGCTACCGTGCTGACGACTTGCCTGGAAAGATGGACCAGGTGGATTGATGAAGGACAGAACACAGTGGGACAAAAACAATACAAAGAGGTATGATAAGAAACAGAGACTTACCTGCGAGTTGAGCAAAAAGCTGCTTGGTCGGGACATCGGGGAGGGGGTGGATGTGCCTGCTATCGCCATGGCGACAGTCTGGTTGATCAGACTGTTACCCTCTCCCTCTGCCTCTTCTCCACTGCCGCCCATCGCTGCCCCCTGGGGACCGCCTGGCCGACCCCACTGGTTATGGGACTCTAGTGACAAAAAAATGAGACAAAAGAAAATTAACCAGTTAATTGGGTCAGAGACAATATAGTAATAAGAAGATTTGGACTAAAGGTCTTAGTGGGGTGTAGGACCACGAGCTCTGTGGATGTTATCAAGACAGAAAGACTAGGGGTCAAAATTATTGAATGGGAAAACCTCTACTGACCAATCCCACCGCATTTGGAAACATGACAGTTACTGTTTGCATACCCTGTCTGTCTGTACTCTGAATAGTAATGCATTTAAAGTAAATTTAAACTTAACTGAGGAGTTGTTAATATGATTTGGTTCAATTTTAGAAACGATCATTTCAAAAAAGTAGAACCAGTCTCAACTTTTATTGAGACAAAACTTTATGACATGAGCTTAACTGACTCTGGAACTATTGCTAATATAAACATTTATGAATGGTCATTTGAATACAAGGCAGGGCCTAGGGAAGAAAGGTTTGCCATAGGGTAGGTAGGGGGTTAAAGGAGAGATAATGTACGAGAGATGAACTGAGGTTAGAGATCAGCTGGTACAGTATGTTATGTTAGGGTGCAACATCCTTTGCAGGTCAAATGATAACGTTTTGAGTTTCAAAGGATATGCTCTTAAAGGTCACAAAGTAACTTTAGGTTATTTGGGATTTCACCAGCCTTATTGCCACAATGTTGCATGACTCATTCTCAACTGTTTCAATTAAGGGACATCTGAAAAGAGTGCTGCTGACTGGACAGTGGGAAGAAACCAGTTGACTACAACAGAAGACATGTTTGACAGTTGGAGTGAAACAATAAAAAAAATGGTGCCAAACGAAACTACTATATTTTCAAAGTTAGTCCTAATCTTTACCTGTAAAGTCATGCAGCTGTGGTAGTGTTTCCATGACGATGCCAATGAGAGGCAGGTAGAGCATGGCGACTCGGGCCTTGACCTCAGGATCGGCATAGCGAGGGTCAGAGTCATGGCTGGACAGGAGGTTATGAACGACACTTACCACTTTCTTATGTAGTCCAAACATCCTACGGTGAAAAAACAAACAAAAAAGGGAACAAAAACATACATTATTTCATTTAAAGTGTAAAAAGCACAATGGGTGAGATAACAAGAGACATTACTCGCATTAAGGTAATAATAATAACCATAACTCACTCCCATGCTTATACAGGCTTATCTCTCGCCAACAGTAACAGAGACTCTAACCTGAAAATATCACTTTCCTTTCTCTATAACACTTGACAGTTTATTGGCTAGACACCCAGCACACACAGACAATGACACCCATCCATAAAGATAACAGGTGAAGACCTTCCATTATCATTCATTAATCCCTGAAACTCCATAATTTTGATCATTCAAGTCGCCCTCCCTCACAATCTTTGTAAGTGTAGCAAGTGTGCATCCAAAGCATACTCACCCCTCATTTTCTGGGTCGAGTATAACAGACAGTTCAGATAGTACCAGTCCAGCTAGATAGTGTTGCTCTCTGAAGGGGACAGACAACTCAAACATGTTGGCTATCTTTTGGTCTTGGACATGTGTGGAGAACCCAGAGCTCTGTGGGAGAGAGAACACAGAACATCCCAAGATTAATTTAATTAATTAATTAATTAATTATATTTTTAATTAGTATAGGACTTGAAGATGTGTTATGTTT